GGAGAGGAGAGGAGAGGAGAGGAGAGGAGAGGGGAGGAGAGGAGAGGTAAGGAGAGGTAAGGGAAGAGGAGGAGAGGAGAGGAGAGGAGAGGAGAGAAGAGGAGAGGAGAGGAAAGTGACTTACTGCAACGGAGACACTTGGTGCCCTTGCCAGTTGGACCTAACCAGTAGCGTGAGAAGAGAAGAAAAAGAATGAGGCAAGGAGGAAGGAGAAGGGAGGAGAAGGGAGGAGAAGGGAGGAGAGGTTGGAGGAGAGGTTGGAGGAGAAGGGAAGAGAAGGGAAGAGAGGTTGGAGGAGAAGGGAGGAGAAGGGAGGAGAAGGGAGGAGAAGGGAGGAGAAGGGAGGAAGGAGAAGGGAGGAGAAGGGAGGAGAGATGCAAGTTAAGAGGAGTTCCAGGTAAGGAGAAGGGGAGGGAAGGGAAGTGAAGGAGAGTAGAGGATGACACTACCATTTCTTCTTGAGACCCTCGTAGATGGGAAACTGAATCAAAGAGAACGGAATCTCTCTCATAACAGTGGTGAAGTATCCGACATAATATCTTCCCTCTCGTCACGTTTCATAACATCACGAAGTGCAGAATCGTCACCCGGAAAACCCCTGAGTTGAGTTGATTCCCCTGATTGCATCCATGGTTGACTTGTACATCCCGGCCTGTTGAGAAAGAACAAGAATCAGCAGTCAGCGTGATGGAAGAAATTGAAGGGGAAGAAAAGAATCGGAAGGGAGGAGGAGGAACGAGATGGATGAGAGGGAGACAGGGAGGAAGCGAGAGGAAGGTGGCGGAAGGCGTAGGTGGGAAGGGAGACATATGGAGGAAAGGGTTGAGGTAGAAGAGCGATGAACGTCAAGACGTCAGAAAGAGTCGGAGAACAGGAAGGAGGGAGGAGGGAGGATTGACCTGCATCTTTTGCTTCACGTTCTCGGTAGGAACGCGAACTGAAAACAGGAAGATCAGCACAAGGCAAGTGATGATTGAAGGGTTTGAGAAGAGCTGGAGGTTTCTTTCAAGAATGAAACTTGACAGGTTGTGATGGTAGTGACCAAAGTCTGACCTACCCAGGCAAGCAGCGACTTCACCAGCAGAAGACGCCATCTGAAACGCAGTCAGGACCTTGTCTCCACTCTATCTCAACCATGTCACCATGTAGCATCCACTGTGATACTTCTCATCGAAGCGCTTCAGCAGCACGTTCTTCGAAGTCTCGTAGCTACCAAGCAGAATCAAGGGGTGAAGGGTGAATGTGGGGAGGAGGAGGAGGTGTTCATGGATGTGATTGTAGTGATGATGGTGGTAGTGGTGGTGATGGTAAAGAGAAAGAGAAAGAGAAAGACGCTGAAGAAGGAGAGGAAGAGGAAGAGGAAGGAGAAGAAGAAGGTGGTGGTGGGGATGATGATGTAGTTGATGTTTGTTGTGATGATAGTTGTGAGGAACATGATTATGCGTCAGATGTCAGACGAGCGAGCATCTTCTTACGTAGAGAAGAAGAGAGCTGCTCCCGGCGCAGATCCTGCTGCAGCAGACGCCAGCCCGTTGTAAACTCCCTTGAAGCCTCCTGCTGCCATGAAGCCTTGAGGCGACTGCAAAGATGATCCATGAGAAGACAAGGAGGGAATGAGCCGGAGGAGGAGGAGAAGTAGGAGGAGGAGAAGTAGGAGGAGGAGAAGTAGGGTGAAGGATGATCATGGAAGGCGGGAGGAAGGAAGTGAGAGAAGGAAGTGAGATCAACCTGTAGCCTCGTCTTGATGGTGTCGATGGGGAACAACGCAACATCCACGGCCGTTCCTGCGCATCCGCCCGCTAGCAGAGCTACAACGAAAGGCGTCTCCTTCTGTTCACTCATCTTCTGCGCACGTGCTTCAGTTCTCAATGCCCTTCAGACGGCGGTTTCATCTTGCATTACACGATACAGCATGGAAGAGCGAAAGAGAATGCTACATGATCAATATGTGAAATACTCTCTACCATGCTAGACACTTTACAACCATCCTTCTTGCACCTTCAGTCTTCGAACATCCCTGTCAACTATATAGTCCTCTCCATCATCTCGCACTAATGTAACAATTGAAGTTCCTCAAACAAGATCTCTGCCTGGTTGATTATCCTCATGCTTTTTGCTCCTCGTGCTACTTCTCGTCCTGCTCCTGCTCCTGCTCCTGTTCTTGATACTCACCATGATCCTAATCCTACTGTTATTGTTGTTGTTGCTGCTGCTGCTCCTCCTCCCGATCCTCCTCCTCCTCCTCCTCCTCCTCCTTCCAAGCGTCCCTGTACTTCCAGGATCAAGGCCATTGCCCAGCCTCCATGGGCTACCCCACCCCAGCCCTCATCCATCCTGTCATCCATCTAACAAGGGGTAATCAACACTAACTTGTACAAGGGGGGTACTTGACCCCAACATTTCATTCTAAACTTAATCACTCAAAAGTTATGTGATACTACTAAGTTGTAGTGACTAAACTTTTCGTTTGACCATCGCGAAGTTGTACCCCATCATGGTCAAGTGTACCCTTGCAATTGCAATGAACCCCCTATCTTCATATCAAATATACCGGTCCTCTTAGAAGAAGATTACTACCCCTCCTTCAAACACCCTACCTCACACGGTCCCTACCCACAAGTCAGTGTGCCCCGTGTAAAGCATGTCCCAAGCATAGTTGGCGAACAATTTTTGAAATCGTTTTGATTATATCCTTGGTATTTCAAAGTTTGTAGAGACTTTCAAAGCCTATTCAGCCATTTTTCCTAAATGTCTCGCAGGGTCACGCGCAGACGATGGGCCAATGCCGCCGGAGGGCCCTGGGCCCGCCGGGCTGTTTTTAGAAAAATTCCGCCGTTACAGACGCCGTTATCAAAATCTCCGTCAGCCGCCGGCCCGGCGCTCCGAGCTCACAAGTTACGACGGCGAAGTGACTCGGAGGCTAAACGTGACGCCCCCGGCGGCCGCCGGGGCCCGGCGGCCGGGCGAGAGTGTGGCCGTCACTGGATCACTGTCATGCATGGCATGCTGACGGTCGCCGCCCCCCCGGCGGGCGGCCGGCCCGGCCGGGCCGGGCCGGCCGCCATGCATTGCGGCCGCTGTACTAGTGACGCGGCCGCGGTGACGGTGCGGTGACGGTGACGGTCACCGGGTGCCAGGCCATGTATGATCTGTAACGGAAAAGAACGGCTATTCAATGAGGACCATTTGTGCCAAAAATATATTCCGAGGCCCACCTGCCTGTTCACTACCCCACCCTAATCGTACCCTACCCCCAATGTTTCGTCAATTTAACGAAGAGATTATATCAAAGCACCCCTGTCAAGTACTACCCTACCCCCAAGTTTGAACATACCTTTATCATTCGGAATATCGGAATATCTCACTACCCCCCATGGGCCCCAGCCTTCACCCACCCTTTCACACCACCCTACCCCCTATTTCCTCGCTCTTATCTTTACATCCTGCATTGCCATCATTACATTCACTACCCTACCCATACATATATCCTCAGTTAGACCGTAAACGCACGGGTATGGAGTAGGACCCCACCCTGAATATTGAATTGAGAGGCAATAATAGTTCCGACTTTTACTTGTATTGGAAAAACATCGTACGGTAGTGAATCTCAGTACCCCCCAACCCCGGATATTTCCCCAAATTAGTACCCCTCCCTCCCCATGTGACTACCCTACCTGAGGTAGAAAACTCCGACTGGGTACAGGCGCTATGCGGCGTGTGTAGGCAACCAGGAAGGGGTAGAGAAGGGAGAGGAGGAGGAGGATGGGGGGAGAGAGTGACAGGGATAGAAGCGACGACAGATCACGGAGAGGAGCATGTACGAGGGACAGAGACAGAAGATCAAGAGAAACACACGCGAATTGAGGGGACTAGGAAAGGCAGGAAGTTTACAAATGCTCGCTTGTTTAGTGTTATGGAGGACAACAAGGTCTTTAGCCTGCAGACGAGTTTTGATGTGGATTCTACTAATCCGAGTCTCTAGAATATCCCGAACATTTCTGAGATGGAATGTGCCCGACTCGTTGATACATTAGCACTGTTTCATTATTTGTTTCACTCACACTTACAAGTTCATCTCAGGATACCTACCAGCATGTCAGACCTCGGCATCAGACGTCGGAGCGGAAAGCACGATGAATGAGAGAGCGAGAGAGCAACGAACCAGCCATGAAGGCAGTTGATGTGCAGGTCCTTAGCCACGAAAGGCCTGAACCTGTTGTACTGCATACGCCATCAGACTCTTCGGGTAGCAAGATGAGGTTTTCCCATACCGCAGAGAGAACTTTACCCTTCGCAAACCAGAAGCTCTGCTCGAAGAGCGAGTACTCGGAATGGTTGAGAGCAGAAGAGCTTTCCCAGCGGCACAGGCACAAACAGGTGTACAACTTCATGAAGCTGTTCGAAAAGGACCAAGGCGAGAAGAATGCGTTTCGCAATTCAATTTTCTCTTCAAAGCTTGCAAGGGATTTCTGTTCTGGAATCAACATCCCCACTCTTGCGTCAGGCATGCTGATCTCTGATATCATCTCACTGCTCCATAAATGCCAGCACTTGATCGTCAGGATGGAGCACGGAGCTGACGGGGATCCTGAGGAGAATGGCGCGAGGGAGATCCTGTGTTCAGTGTTTGACCTGTCTTGTCATATCGTCCAGCTGGAATCTTTGTCCATTCCGATGTACACCATCATTCACAAATTCAACAGCTGCTTGACGATGCCAGCAGACAGCACTTGCGAGGAGGTACTGAGAAACATGTTCTTGACGCAGCTGCAAGACATTGGGTTGCGAGACAAGGACGGGAGTATCGTAGGAGTTGTGAAGTTTCAGGCGATCTTTGAGCTCGTTGCCGAAACGAAGGAGTTTGCACAGAAAGATCAGATCTTCCGCTTCTCGAACTATTACAAGCTGGATGACGACGACGATGAGGATGTTTTCGATCCTAACGAGAAGGAGACCGAGGCTGTACTGATAGACAATAGTGGGACCACACTGCAGTCGACGTTGAAGAAAGCTGCGTTCGAGTGGCTGAACAGTCTCTTCACTGAAATCCTGATCCTTTCTCTGCTCCTCCTGGACGGCATTGTGAATGTATCCGCACTCTTCATTGATCCGTCTTCGGACGGATGCTCTTACCTGATCACCCCCAAGACAACAGTGACATGCGTTGCTATGTTTGTGTTCATGTATGAGACAGTGATCAGACTGATGGTGTACAATCGCAGCCTGCTCGCCTTCCCGATCGAGACTCTAGACGTCTCTGTGGTGTTGATCTCGTGCGTGCTGCTGGCAATCTCCATCTTCGTCCAGAGTGTCCATTCAACCATTCACATCATGATCATCGTTGCAAGGGTTGTCCGTGGACTGAAGCTCCTCAAACTGACGAAGCAGATGCGGCTGATTGTCAGCAGGCACAAGAGCAGATACAGGGAGGATGGTTTTGACCTGGACCTGACGTACATCACACCCAACTGCATCGCTATGTCCTTGCCCGCAAGCGGAGCAGAAGCACAATACAGGAATCCTATCATGGAGGTTCAAAGATTCTTTGAGACCAAGCACAGCAATCGGTATCTCATCTTTAACCTCTGCGCCGAGAGATCATACGACAAGGCGTTGTTCAAGGGACAGGTCTGTTCTTGTTCTTTCTCTTTCTCTTTCTCTTGTTCTTGTTCTTGTTCTTGTTCGTGTTCTTGTTCTTGTTCTTGTTCTTGTTCGTGTTCGTGTTCTTGTTCTTGTTCTTGATGATAATTACGGTGATTATAACGAAGACGGCGATCATGACCACGACGATGATGATCATGTTCCAAACAAAATATCCATATGCAATCATTGTTCTATACCAGCTCATTGTGTTAGATGTCACTTCAAGTCTTGCAATGACAAGATGTCGTGGTAGGTTGTCAGAATCAAGGTCCATGATCACAATCCCCCTCTGCTAGACCAGTTGCTGGAATTTCTTGATCGTGTCACCAAGTGGATAATCTTAGACAAGGAGAATGTGATTGCAATACATTGCAAGGGAGGAAAAGGGCGAACAGGGACCTTCATCTGTGCGTGGTTGTTGTACTCGTCGATCGTTAGGACAGGTGAGATGCTTGTCAGAGGTTGTTGGAGGAGGTGACAAGATCTTGACAGCGGAGGAAGCGATGCAATGGTTCTCATCGCATCGAACGGGGATGGTGATGATGATGATGTTGTTGTGAGACTGGGGATGATGTTGTTTGAAGGGGAGGAGGTCAAACCAAGGTGTTACAGCTGCAAGTCAGAAGAGGTATGTGAGCTATATCGAGAGGATCATTCGAGATGGCGGCCATGCCACAAGGACTTTGCTGCTGAAGAAGGTTATTATGCACACTTGTCCAAAGGTGAGAAGTTTGGGGTGAAAAGAAGAGGATTTCTGGGAAGAAGATTGTGATGTTGCAACTGATGCGAGGTGTAAGGAGATATGTGGCAATGTTTGATTGGCAGAGATGAAGTGAGGCGATATGAGATGAGAGCATGAGACGAGATGGAATGAGATAAAGAGTTGCAATAGGAAGGGCAGGGCAGGGAAGGGAAGGGAAGAGAAGGGAAGGGAAGGGAAGGAAACAGAATTGAAGAGGAAAGAAGAGGAGAGAAGAGGAAAGCAAAGAAGAGAAAGAAGAGCAGATCTGCAATGGGAGGCGATGTGACGCGAGATATGATGTGAGTTGTTCAGATGGATGTCGATGGAGGTTGCGACCCCTGGTTTCAGATCGAGAAAGATGGCAAGAAGATTTACGACTCGAGCGTTGCAAACAATGGCAAAGTGATCAACATGGCGAAACGCCAGGAGCTGATGCAGTTTAACAACATCGACGTCAATCTTCACGGAGATGTTTGCTTTCGATTCTTTGACAGAGACTACGTGCCTCCTCAGGTGAGATAACAGAGGAGAGTGAAGCGAGGAGGGTAGGAAATCAAAGAGAGGAGGAGGGAGGATGATGATGGGAGAAGAGTGAGGATAATGGTGGGAGAGGAGAGAGGAGAGGAGGGAGGAGAGAGGAGAGAGGAGAGGAGAGGAGAGTGGAGAGTGGAGAGAGGGAATATGAAAGGCTGACAAGGGTGACATGTTGGTATCAAGAGGCATTCAGATTTGGTTGTGACGTTCCTGTAGGATGAACTTATTTGCTTCTTCACCTTTCACACCGGGTTTGTCGATACCAGGAGGACAATTTTCTACAAGGACGAGATTGACATAGCAAGTTCCGACCACTCCTGCAAAATTTTCCGGTCGGACTTTGCCATCGAGCTGATCTTCTCGTCCGACAACAGCCGGCACGGCATCTCAGACACAGTTTCAGGTGTCATGTCAGATGCCTCATTCATGACCTGGAAGACTTTTTCAAAAGCTCCCATCAGCATCTTGGAGATGTCGCGGAAGATCTGCAAGGAGAAGGACCGGGCAGTAGAGTGCGGCAACTTTGCTGTCAACGTTGAAGTTGATAGGGACGCTTCAAGAGTAGAGGAGTCGCGACTCGACTGGTTCGTTCCAACGGGCCCGAAGATCGACTTCGGCTCAGTCAGCCTGTTCTGTGACTCTGAGCTGGGAAGGGGAAGGCACAACAGCTCCATTTGCTTCCCTCCCGTCCACCAGCACAAAGATGAAGAACTTGTGAACGAGGACGCAGCTCAGACTGTGCGGTCCAACTTCATAGACTGCAGGTATATCACAGCGAGGATCCTCGCGTTCTCGACCAAGAAGATGTCGCAACGCATGTTCGGCAAGCATCACACGGCGAGGGTGAGCCATTTTTTCAGCGCAGACACTTCAACCGTCTGATGGTGCTTGAGCTCGACGACGTGCTGCCGTCATCAGTGCAAGACGATCTCTTCCTCAAGAGAGTTGTCAATCACTATCCTATCAGACAGGGCGATCCTCCTGCCATGGAGTCGATGCTTACCATATGCATGAAGTTGCACTCCTTTCTGCAAGAAGATTCCAACAACGTGATCGCAATGGGGTCCAAGAACGGGCTGGCAAGGCCAGGATTTGTTATCATCTGCTACCTGCTCTTTTCAAGGTTTTGCCCGGATCGGGAGACAGCAGTGAAGTACTACAACAAGATGACAGGCTGTGACAAGCACCATCCCTTCTCGAAGGCTCAGTTGAGGTACCTGATCTACTTTGAAAGTCTGCTCCAGATCCTATCAGACCGAATCCCGTTCTACCATCTTGAAGAGAACAAGTCGCCAGCATTCGCCATCTTTCGCATCCGCATCTCTTCTGTCTCGAAGCATCAGATGTGGTCAGACTCGACCATGCAGGTTCACATCAACGTCGTCGATCATCTCTACCATCAGAAGCACGAGGTGTACTCCTCCTCCCGCTTCGAGTCCTCGCAAGTGAGCAAGGAGATTGTCTGGGACCTTGACATCAAACCCGCTCTGCGAGTGGCTGGAGATGTTCAGATTATCGCGTATGATTACAAGTACTTTGGCACAACTCAGGTGTTTGCGTATTGGTTTCATTCTACTTTCTGGATGCAAGAGTTGTCGGCTGAGAGCTCTCAGTTTGCTCCGATCGACAACACAAATCTCAACCTGCCGGGGCATGCGAGTGTGATCAAACTCAACGTCGACGAGCTTGACTTCGCTGAGGGAATTGACATGTCGGAAGATAAGTTCGATGTGGAGATCTTCGTTGCTCCTCTTCATGAGACCTATGGCACTGGACCCAAGATGAAGTCGGTGAGATATGATGGAGATGATGATGAAGATGATGAAAATGATGGAGGAGGAGGAGGAGGAGGAGGAGGAGGAGGAGGAGATGTTGATGGGGATTCCGAGAATAGAGGGGATCATGAATATGATAACTTGAACGTGTAACTCCTCCGTTTCACTGTTTGACTTTGCTCGCAGCGGATGAGCAGGAGTACAAGCCGCCCTTCGGCCTTTCAGCAGGAATTCTACAATCAGAAACGTTACTTTGAGCAAACTTTAGCAAACCTCGGAAACAGTTTCACTTTCGAAGCATGGCAGCACGCAAACTTGACTGAGGACAAATCTCTCCTGCACGGGAGCTCGAAGGGCCATGAATGTCCATCTCCCAAACATTCTTATGAGGATTCTGTTGATGAAGACAGCTCTTACACAGAGCCAGTTCCTCTCCGCCCGATTCTGAGTGTTGACATACCAAAGAAATCGGTTGTGTGAATATTCAAAAGGTAGTTGTTATGTTATTTATTTACATTTTAAGGTTAATACATGATATTCACGTTCACAATTTCTGTTTGATGTTGTATGACATGGAAGGGATCCTAGCTGTAATGTATTTATTTACATTTTAAGGTTAATACATGATATTCACGTTTACACTTTCTGTTTGATGTTGTATGACATGGCAGGGATCCTAGACTCGATGACAACTTGTCTTTCTTTCTATCATGAGATATCCGACCGGCAGATTGGGCAGTGTGCTGAGGATCGGTCTTCTTTCTCCATGACCCAACTTGGTAAAGTCAGCAGGAGGAAGGTCGAGGGAGGCAAGAGGCAGGAGAAAGAAGAAGCAAATCAAGAAGGGAGGGAGTGAAGGAGGAAGATAGGGAGGGAGGGAGGAAGAGAGGGAGTGAAGGAGGAAGAGAGGGAGTGAAGGAGGAAGAGAGGGAGTGAAGGAGGAAGAGAGGGAGTGAAGGAGGAAGAGAGGGAGTGAAGGAGGAAGAGAGGGAGTGAAGGAGGAAGAGAGGGAGTGAAGGAGGAAGAGAGGGAGTGAAGGAGGAAGAGAGGAGTGAGAGAGAGAGGAG